AAATAGCTTCCAAATAAAGAGCAGGAATTGTGAGAACAAGTGAGTGTCAGTAATCATAACTCAGAACACGTTTAAAGCATAAAACAGTTTAGGATATAATAATTATTAACCAGAACTCAGGTCTCCACAGTAGCAGCTCCTAGTTTAAAAGATTTCAACCTGTTTCGCATGAATAATTATGTGAATATTTGCAAAAAGACCGCAGGTGCACTTATGCCTCTGCAATTTGTTGGCTAAGCAAGAGGGCCACAACAGCTATATTCATGCTGCCTTCAATCTACACATCGATAGAGTTCAAAAACTCCAACAAACGGTCCTCATCTTATGACGAAGTTGTGCTGTAAGTCAAGCTAAACCCGATTTAACCACAATTTTTACAATGGCAGGTAAACAAATTATTCCTTTTGTTGAGGGGGAAAAATCAATAATCATGTGACCACAGGATGCTACAACTCGTTGTAACTCGAGGTGGATGCCCAGCACCTGAACAGCGACCACGTGACGGCACGTGTGATGTGACAGTCGTTAAGTGGGAATATAGGTCGTAAGTCATTTTTTCCAAGGCTGTTGTAACTCTGAAACATTGTTCAACAAACAGATGTAAGTCGGGAATTACCTGTGAAGGCGTAAGTCCCTCTAAACAGGTGTTTCTCCACCTGGCCAACTTGAAGAAGCTCGGACTTCAACTCCCAGAATTCCCCAGCCAACATGGCCTGGGGGCACTCTGGGAATTGAAGTCCACGCTTCTTCAAGTTGTTTAAGCTTGAGAAAACTTAATCTGGATAGGATAGCACTAAAAAGACAAAGAAGATACAGAATATTTTTTAACATGGGATTTGTTCTATCAATGGTTAGATAATAGAGGTAGAAGTTGAAAGATTATTGATATGTATAAATAAATAATAATACTATTACTAGCTGGATACCCATGCTTCACTATGAAACTATGTGGTGGGGCTTAGTTTTTAGGGAGGAAAATAAGAAGGAAAAAATTCTGCCTCTGTCTACCAACATCCATCGGTATTCATCTGGCTAGCGTTCTGTCAGTGTGTGAGAGAGTTGAGGGCTGTTTGGAAACTGAAACAGTATTTGCTGTGCGAGCAAGGAGACAGCAAGGAGCCTGGGCGTGGATTAGCTCAACTGTTCTGTACTAAAGCTGCTTGCTGCTCTCAAACTGAAATTGAAACTCCTCTCCTCTGCTTGTGTTTTGCCTTTGGAAGAGATTTCTTTTCAGGTGGGGCGGGGGAGTAGAACTCCTTAGCGTCAGAGCGTGTTAATAATAATAATATAGGAAATACTAATGCTCCGATGGTCATTTTGAAAAATTCTTTCTTAGTGAGCACCTAGAAGCCAAGAGGAACATATGTGCCAAATTTCAAGTTTGTAGGCTTTACGGTTCTAGAGATTTTGTGATGATGCGTGAGGGGTATTTCACTTTTAGATAGATAGCTAGAATTATAGAGACAGAGATATATAGAAATACATATATAGAGATTATTACTATGTACAGTATAAGTAAATTGATCCGGATAATACACTGTTTACTAAGCAACAATGTATGTTAAAGAAAAAGGTACAAATAAAATATATTTTTTAAAAAAGATTTGAGAAATCGTGCTCTAAACCCATAAAGCTCACTTCCAGGTTGGAGAACTTCAATTATTTGCAATTAAAAAGGCGCAAATCCTGGGAACCCAAAACAGGTTTTTCTGGAGAAAGGCATAAACTCTGGAGAAGACTCATCGTGGTAGTGGGGGTCTCCTTCCTTCCTAAAGGCCATCAAGACTGTTCAGAAACCACGCTGATGCAACCTACAGACTCTTGCTTATGTGACCGTCTCTAAGCAATTTCCTCATTTTGGGACAGACAGCTGACCAACAATTGACCGGGAAGAGCAAAATCTAGCATTGCAAAGTATTTTCTGCAAAATCCTTCAAAAGCAGGCAACCCCCTAGAGGTGGTTGCTGGAACTTACAACCCACAATGGAGCCCAACATTTCGTTTGTTCCAGGAGTTTTGCCCCGTTTTATGATATTTTTGGCCTCGGTCGGTAAGTGGATCGCTGCCATTGATGAGTTACTAACTTAGTTGTCAAGTGAATCTGGCTTCCCCCGTTGATTGTCGAAAGGACACACACACACACACACACACCTGGGACAATGCAACCATCGTAAGTACATGCCAGTTGCCAAGCTTCCTAATTTCGATTACTTGACCAACGGGCGTATGAAAAATAGTCATAAGTAATGAGGAATTCCTTGGTGCTGTCTCAGCTGGTTGTTTTCTTGCAGATGTTTTCTGACCCAACTAGGTAATATCATCAGTGCTAGAAAGGAATGGTATTTGTGGAGAGGAGGAAGAGGAGGAAGAGGAAGAGAATTGTGGGTTCCTCAGTGCTCTCTGAGCTTGGTTATTTTCTTCCAGGCGTTTCATGACCCAACTGGGTAACATCATCAGTGCTAATAGCCTATCATCACTGCTAGCACTGATGATGTTACCTAGTTAGGTCATGAAATGTCTGGAAGAAATCAAGCAAGCTCAGAGAGCACCAAAGGACCCCACAGTCCTCCTCCTCCCCTTCTTCCTCTCCATAATACCTTCTCCCTCCCAGCATTGACGATGTAACCTAGTTGGGTCATAAAACGTCTACAAGAAAATAACCAAGCTCAGAGAGAATTAAGAACCCACAGTTCGCCTCCTCTTCCTCCTCCTCCTCTTCCTCCTCCTCTCCACAATACCATCTCCCTTCTAGCACTGATGACATTACCTAGTTGGGTCATGAAATGTCTGCAAGAAGACAACCAAGCTCCGAGGGCCCCAAGGACTCCCTCATTACAACCCTGGCCTACGAATATTCTCCTTCATTGGTCCTAAGTCCCTTTTTCTCAGTGCTGTTGTAACGCTGAACACTCAGTAAACGAATGGTCATAAGTCAAGGACCGCCTGCAAACCCACATTTGGGTTTTGTTTGGGGGCCTGAGGAGAACAGAGGTCGTTGACCAGATATGAAGGAGGAGAGAAGGGAAGGAAAGCAGGACTCGAAAGTGTGTTTATCCACAACAGCATCACGTTTAGAAAAGAATAGAGCTGGAAGGGACTTTGGAGGTCTTCTAGTCCAGCCCCCGCTCAAGCAAGAGAACCCATGCAATCTCAGACAAGTGGCTGTCCGGTCTCTTCTTAAAAGCCTCCAGTGGTGGGTTTAATTTAAGCCCTTTTTAACTCCTACCCAGCAGGAGGAAGGCTACTTAAAAGCAGGTCAGCAAAGTCAGACCAAGATTTCAACCTGCCTCGGATCCCCTTTCGAATGCATCAGGGAGAAGGTCGAGGATGGAGAGAAAGAGAGAGGGAGGATGGAGGGAGAGAGAGAGAGAGAGAGGGGGGGGGAGGGAGGGAAACAGAAAGAGAAAGAGGGGGGGAGAGAAAGAGAGAGAAGGGAAAGAGAGAAAGGAGGGAAGGTGAGAGAGAGAGGGGTTAGGAGAGAGAAAGAAAGAGGAAAGAAGAAAAGAAGTGAGGAAGAAAGGAGGGAGAGAGAGGGGAAGGAGAGACAGAAGGAAGGAGGGAGGGAGGGAGAGAAAGAGTAGGGAAAGAGAGGAACTGGTTATGAGAGATGTGGAAAGAGAATGGGAGGGTGGGAAGCAGAGAGAAAAGGAGGGAGGGAGAGAGGGAGAGGTGTAGAAAGAAAGAGGGAGGAAAGAAAAGAGAGAAAGGAGGGAAAGAGAAAGAGAGAGGGGTTATGAGGGAAAATGAAAGAAAGAATAAAGGAAAAAGGAAGAGAGAAGGAAGGAAGGAAGGAGGAAGGAGAAACAGAAGGAGTGAGGGAGGGAGAATGGGGGGAGAGAGAAAGAGGGAAGAAGGGAAAAAGAGAGGAGGGAAGGAGAAAGAGAAAAAGAGAGAGAGAGAAGGAAGGAGAGAGAAAAAGAGGGAAGGAGTAAGAAAGGAAGGAAGAGAGAGAAGCAGAGAGAGAAGGAGGGAGGGAGGGAGAGGAATGGAGCGAGAGGGGGAGGTATAGAGAGAAAGAGGGATGAAGGAAAAGAGAGAAAGGGAAGGAGAAAAAGGAAGAGGGAGAGAGAGAAAGAGAGAGAAGGAAGGAGAGAAAGAGAGAAGGAAGAAGAGAGAGAAAGAGAGGGAAGGTGTAAGAAAGGAAGGAAGAGAGAAGCAGAGAGTGAAGGAGGGAGAGCGAGGAATGGAGGGAGAGATGGGGAGGTGTAGAGAGAAAGAGGGAGGGAGGAAAAGAGAGAAAGGGAAGGAGAAAAAGGAAGGAGAGAGAGAGAAAGAGAGAGGAGAGGGAGAAAGAGGGAGAAAGAAAGAGAGAAAGAAAGAAAGAAAGAAAGAAAGAAAGAAAGAAAGAAAGAAAGAGGGAGGGCCTGCTAATGGATGGACCAAGACTGCAGCCTCGCCCCCCCACCCCCCCACCCCCAAATCCTATCCCCCGATCCTATCCTTCCCCCGGCCCCTTCCAAGCCCGGCAAGGCAGGCAGCCCAGACCTCAAAGCCCGCCAGTCTCTTGGTTGGAGGGGGGGGGGAAGAGGGCGAAGGGCCTCCCCCCTCAAAAGAGGGTCCCAGAGACAGACACCCCCCCTCCCCCTTAGCCCCCCCTGCCTGGCCAAGCGGGAGCAGGAGAGGCTGGCAGGGAAGGGGGAGGAAGAGGAGGAGGAGGGGGCGCCTGGTTGGAGCCCCAGGGCCCCGGAGAGGGAGGGAGGGAGAGAGGGGGGAGGAGAGGGGTTTGCGGGTAGAGGGAGGGGGCGCCTGCTTTTTAGGCAAGGACAAAAGGGCCGCCCCCTCCCCTTCCCCCCCTTTTCCCGGGGTCTCTGCGTGGGGGGGGCGCATGCATGGCTGCGAAGGAGGCGCGGCCCCTTCCGGGAGCTTTGGGGTTGGGTGGGGGCGTGGGGGGGCTCTTTGCAAGGCGGGGAGACCTTGGGGAGGTCGGGGGGCTTGGAAAGACCCCCTCCCAGGTCTCGGGGGTGGGGGTCGGGGGTGAGGGGTCCCGGCTGTTAGCTCACCACGGTCCGCTTGAAAAGGTTGCTTTCCTTAGGCGGCAGCGGCGCGGAAGGCATGGTGGCCCCCTTTCCTTTTTCGTTGAAGCCCCCACCGCCGCCGCCGCCGCCGCCCCCCGGCCCCCCCCACTCCGGCCCGGGGCTCGGCCAGCCCGGCTCGGGGCTTCGGGCTTCGGGGCTCGTGCACGGGACGCCCCCGCGTGCACGGGCTTCCAACCCCCCCTCCCCTTTGTGCGCGTGCGCGCGCGCGCGAGCCAGCTAGAGCGCCTTCGCCCGCGGGCGCCGCCTTGCAAAAGCCAGGAGACGCCAAGCAAAACCCACCCGCCGCGCGCAAAACTTGCGCTTCCGGGAGCTGATTTTGGTTTGTTTTTTTTCCCCCTTATGAGTTTTTTGCAACACACAGACACACACACACACACACACACAAACATATATGCAACCGCCTGGTTAGGATCTGGGGCAGAGAGCTTTGTGGGGGAGCAAGTGGCCACAGTTTAAGGGGAATCCGTCCATCAGAAGGGATAAAGGAGATTTTGGGAGCTCGGGGGTTGGCCTGAGAGGTCCTTGGTGCATCCTCAGGGCCAGAAGAAAGGGGGGGGGGGGGGGGGGGGAGGAGGAGAAGAACAGGGCGGGGGGAGGAGGGGGGGGGGGAGGGGGAAAGAGAAGAACCTGGCAGACGGGACAGGACAATAATAAAAACGAGGACAAATCGGCTGAAAAACTGCTTCTATCCCAGGATGGCAGCTCTGTTGAATTCTGCTGTATAGTGCAGTATTTTGGTGTGGTGTCTTGGGGGTTTCCGGTTCAATGTGTGGAAGGTGAAGGAGGTGTGTTTGTGTTGATTTTCATGGCGGTGATGTGCATGGAAGATGGTGTTGGATTTCCTTGTACGAGGTGCAAGGACAATAAAGTAAACTAAACTAAAGGTCACAAAAAGGAGATCATGTGAGCCGGGGATTTTGCAACCGTCATAAGTACATGCCAGTTGCCGAGCGTCTGTATTTTGATCACGTGACCGTGGGGAACGATCAGAACTGAAGAAGCTTCTCGGAGGACAAGCGAAATGTCTTCAAGGAAAAAAACAAGAAAGTCCAGTGGCCTCTTGGAGAAAAAAAAAAAAAAGCACCTGGCAATCTGGCAGCAGTGATGAAGAGGACCGCGAGGAGCCTGTGCCAAGTGCAGCTGCAGCAGCATGGGTGACTCGGGAGTAAAGCTGCAAGGCCCCTCCCTTAAGAGATAAAAGCCAGCTGAGAAACTGCAGTTCTTTGCAGGAAGCAAAGAAGTTTTTGCACTCAAGTCTTGTGGACGTTGGAGTATCTGAGTTAGACACACTTGTATACCACCAGAGGGACTGACCATTCAAAAAATAATGCGCTGTGCCGAGTTTACAAGAGAAAGAGGAATCTGTCCATGACAAGGTGCGGGGAAAATGGTATGACTGGATTGAGCAAAGACAGATTGGTGGATAGATAAATGGGTTGTAAATAAATAGGGATAAAGCACTAGATAAGTTAATGATTTATATATCCGCAAACTCTATTTGTAAACAATGCACAAAATACTAGTATAAGATGCATGTCACAAACTGTTGATCTTAAAAGATTTATTTTGTTGTTGTTTGTCTTTTTTAAATTATAAAAGATTAATAAAGTTTGAAAAATAAAAAGATCTGAGTTGGTGTTTGGAGACTCTTTGATTTATTGCTTAGTAACTTTATCTGGTGTTCTTGGCAGCCTTGCAAAAACTTGGCCAGGCTCTTCCTTATTGGAGCTGATTAGTTGGAAGCAGCCTTTTACCTGTGAAGAAACAGGATTCGTAAATGAAACATTAAAAGGTTGTGCTGTTACCTTTGTCTCGTGTTGGCTCTCTTGGAACCAGGTTTGGGTCAGAACAGGTAGGGGGGTTGGACTAGATGACCTGCAGGCTCCCTTCCAACCCAGTGGTTCTATGCTTCTGTGCCTTTGCTGGGTTCACACGGCTGGTGGGGGATTCAGAAGGCTTCCCGTGGGTTGGGTTTCTTGGAAAGCCCTTTTCTTTGCAATGCCTTGAACCCGTTTTTTTCTTTGGGCGGGGTGGAGGGGGCAATGCAATGGCAGCTCTGAGCTTGGCTGGACGGGATGGGGTAACCACCACAGTGAGGCAAAGATTGGTCCCATGTCTAGGCTCCAAACTTGCTAAAACTTTCCTAGGTTCACACAACACACAACTCTCTAGCTTGGAAGTTTTGGTTGCCATGATGTAAAAAAAGGATGCTGAGACTCTAGAAAGAGTGCAGCGAAGAGGCTAAAAACGTATGAAGAACGGTTGCAGGAATTGGGTATGTCTAGTCTGATGAAAAGAAGGAGTAGGGGGGGACATGATAACAGTGGCCCAATATTTGTGGGGCTGCCCCAAAGAAGAGGGGGGTCAACCTATTCTCTAAAACTGAAATGAACTTTTGCAAGTCACCTGTACTGACCACGATAAGCTGACCTTAGAAAGCAAATCATGAGGTCGTTGATTTAATGGCTCAAAGAGAGTGGTAAATAAAATTGTAATTATGCAAAACGCTTTCTTGATTTAAGCTATCCAAATAGTACGGCAGGAGCACAAGAGCGTTTTATTATTTGCAGAATAATGAGTAAGGCTGCCATGTCTGGGTTTCCAAAATCCAGATGATCACAAGATGCCAGCTAATTTTGAAAACTTTTCCTTACATCTCCAGAGTCCAGACCAAGGATGGCTGAAACTCCATTATTATCGCAATTGTTCCATGGAAAGTGTTTTTAAAAACCAGCTAAGGTGGCATGGAGTCGTTGTATAAAAGAAATACAATTCCCATCGATGTTTTCCCAACTTGGCAACTTTCAAATAACTTGGATTTCAACTCCCAGAATTCTCCAGCACTGAATTCTGGGAGTTGAAGACCACTCGTCTTAAAGTTGCATAGTTTTTTTAAAAAACAACAACACTAGTTCACATCCATATTTATTACCGTTCAAAAAACAAAAACAAAAATTGAGATGCAGGGATGGAGATTTAAGAGAGGAGGATAAAAACGAAATTGCAAAATGTTGAGTCACAAAAAGAAAGTAAGGTAGGAAATTCCTCTCCACTTTTTAAAACCAACGTGCCTACCGTCCCTGTCCTATTGTTTCTTTTATTTTTCTTTTATTTTTCTTATATGTACCCATTTCATGTATTCATAACTATGTATACACCTATACTTATTATCTTGTAAACAATTGACAATTCAAATAAACAAACAAATAAACAAACAAATAAATAAAATGCTGCTTTTGCATGTTTAAGGGTGCTTTGCAAGATTGCGGCATGGCAGAGGTTAAAACTCCAGCATCTCCCACTAGCCTTGTGGGAGTTGTAGTTCAGAACGAAAGGCCTGCTGGGAAATGTGGTTTCTCCCCCTACTTCCTTGCTTGGCCCTTCTTCGAGCCAGCATTGGCTACCGTTGGATGTCTGCTTTCCTTCAAGGTGAGAGATTTTTTTGCAAAAAAATAAAAGTTATAAAAATTAAAGGTGGGGTTTTTTTTTTTTTTTTGGCAAAAATTAAAGGGCCTGTTAAAGGGCCTGGATTTGCATTTTGCTTGCAAGCAGGCTAGGAGAAAAGGCGCATCTGTTTGCTGCAGCTGTTTTGGATTCGAACAGTGGATCTAGCAAGGCAGGAGTAAAAGTCATAGGTTTCTCCCAGGAATACATTTAGGAAGGAACAGCCTCGCTGTGCAACAAACTGTGAAGGGGGAATCTGAAGGTTTCTCTGCTCTGAAAACGCAGCTCTTGCGTTTTGCATCTTTCTTCAGTTGGTTTGGTTTGAGCCTTGCTCACTTAGAAGGGTTGGCAGAAGGAACCTCTCCGAAAGACCTTAGGGTTGAACGCAAGCTATTTTATGCCACTTGCAAATAACCCTGGGAGGGAAAGAGGCCCCGAAAAGAAAAGAAACTCTGCTATTTTTTTATTGCTGTTGTTGTTTAATTTTTATGTCACAAAATCACCCCATGTAACTTTTACAGGATGATGCACTGATGATATTCGCTAGTTTGGTAATGAAACGTCTGCAAGAAAACTACCAAGCTCAAGAGAGCACCAAGGACCCTGCATGTAACTTCTGGCTAGAAATGTTTACTTACGATTTCAAAGTTACATAAAAGAGAAGGATTGTATTGATTTGTTATTTTTAGTACAAAACTTATTGTAACTGTGTTTCAGATGTTCCGGTAGTACAGATTTCCCTAGCCTGGTTCCACTGGCTTCAAATTTCATAATAATTATTCTAATTTACTATGGCAAGAATTCACTGAAGGCAGCAGGCTGGGATGGAAGAGACCATGAGTTTTAGTCCTGCCTTAGACATCAAAGTTGACTGTGTGACTTTGGGCCTGTTAATGATTCGTAGCCCTTCCCACCTCGTGGCTCTTGTTTGTCACCTTGGGTTGTTTGTAAAAATAATGAGATGGAATCTGGATGGATGGATGGATAGAGGGAGGGAGGGAGGGGCAGAGAGAGAGATGATAGATAGATAGATAGATAGATAGATAGATAGATAGATAGATTAGAGAGAGACATACATAGATGATA